ATATATACTATATGCTATAGCATATAGTATATATTATATGCTATATAGCATATAATATATACTATATGCTATATACTATATGCTATATACTATATAGCATATAGCATATAATATATACTATATGCTATATACTATATGCTATATACTATATAGCATATAGCATATAATATATACTATATGCTATAACATTTTTCAGTCAGGTCATCTGGACAGTTTCTTTTTTTTGTGCTGAAACGTTTCGTCTTCGATCCAGAAGGCTTCATCAGTCAAGGAAACGCAACAAAACTGATTCTTCCCCCAACAGCTTAGTCCAAAGTGGAACGAACCAGTTTTGCTTAACTGGTTTGTTGTGCCTGATATCAGGAAAATGGACTAAACTCCTAAATGGCTTGTGACAGAGTGACGAGTGTTAAAAGAAGACGAGCTTTCTGTGTACATTCATAATAATCACTCATTGTTTGTGCTCTAGGTGATGACTTTTAAAGCCTCCAGAGCACAGAGATTCATCCAGCTCGTGCAAACGGCCGCTCACACCAGCTGCAAATTCTTCTGCATGCCTTTCTCTGAGAAGGCTGCATGTTGTCCAGGTAAACAAAGCACCTGTATATGGTGACATTGACTCTGCTACATTTTAGAAACTCGTTTAAATGCATTTTACTTTTTCTCTACTCATGTGTTTGTTTTAAGATAGACTGGATGACAATCAACAGTTTATAATAATTTAAAAATGTATATATTTTAATTGCTTTCACAGATAAGACGCTTCAACCCGAGGAGAAAAATACAAACGGTAATTTACTTTTGGTCAGGTAGCATTTCTGTTATTATTTTAGCCAGGCATCAGTTTAAATTGTTTTGGGCTTATTTTGCATACTTATCCAGGCTTTTGTGGATTTTCTTGAGCTAAAGCACATTTTGCACAAATTAGAATTTTTGCTGAGACTCTTCATGGTCACAACCATAAAACAAGGTGCATTCCTTGAGGTCACTGGGGAAAAAACGGCTTCCTAATTTTAGACTCTCATCCTCATTTTACTTCCTCACATTTCACTGACAGAGCCACTCCAACACTCGCCGTCAGCTGTTTTGATTGTCAACATCAGCAACTCCACCCTCATTGACTGCGTCATCGGGGACTCCTACCCGTGCGCTGTGGCTGACCGGCACCCTCTGATGCGGGAGTCTCAGCTCCTAAAGTCTGGTGAGAAACGTTTCGAGCTGCACCTCACAGTCCAGACTGTTGTGCTGATGCATCAAAGCTTTCAACACGAGCTCATAAACATCTAGATCTGTCTGTGTGTTACAGCTCGGGTGAGGTGCAGCTGCTGCCACAAACGGCAGGAGGCCACTCCTCCTTCACCCCCCGTCTCACCAGGAGAGCATCAGAACATCAGCATCCACAGCTCGAGCCTCAACTGCGTCATCATCGGAGACAACAACCACATGCGCACGGAACTGAGCGAGCCGTTTGTCTGAAACAGGAGCTTTACCTGAACGGAGCGGAGAGACGCCACTGCAGCAGTGGACGGCGTCACCGCGCCACACGTTCTGTTTTATGATGAGGTTTGGTTGTTGGAGCCAAAGAAATGCTGGTTCATTTCAGCTGGGTTTACCAACACGTTGTTTCTTTCGTTTTTAACTTTCTGTCTGACTGCTGTTTCTGCTCTGATCTTGTGACAGGACGTGCAGCTGAAACAGAACTCTGAAAGTGTCATGCCGGTGTTGTAAAAACTCCAGCACAGTCACATGATCATTCCTTCCCTAACAGAACCTCGCTCTCCCAGTTCTTTTAGCTGAAGTAGTTGCTGTTCTGCAGCGCTGGGTGTTTTGCCTCTGATCTCAGTGAGGGTTTAGAAAGGAGGTGGTGGGGGTGGTGGTAGGGTGAACTGGAAATTTTACTGGGCAGTAATGATTGTAATGACTCATCTCTGTGGTGGAGAATAGGGGGATTTGTTTTTTCCAGAGGCTTATACCTGAAACTGAAATCTTTATTATCATATTGCATTATGATGCAGTGTATGACCTGTGGTCAAAAAGAGCTAAATACACAGTACTATTTATTGCTGAATGTGAATATTTTTAGTTTTTTTTTTTAAACTTACTCTCAAAAATTAACTGTTTAATTTTACTATTTAAAACATACTTTACACATAAAAATGGATTAACGGACTTTGAGCTGGTTCTGGTCAGTGGTTGATATTTTTTACCCCATGTTCTTCTTGTCTTGTTTGTCCTTATTTATGTTAATATTTTCTGTATGTTTGTGGATATATATTTTATATTCCCACTGTTATTTATTTTACTGTTGTTTTAGGAGTGTATTCTTTTATACGAGTAGTTTCTAGAGCAGGGGTGTCAAACTTGTTTTATAAAAAAAAAAAAAATTTTTTTAAAAAGAGCCAAAAGTAAAAACTTATTTTAAATTCAGGGCTAATTTTAGTCGAAACATTAAGACCAGTCAAATACCTGCATCTTAGTTGCAGGTGCCTCAAGAGTTTGGTGGCTCTCATTTGACGTTCTCTGTCACCCTTACTGCATCAAAATCCAAACTATTTTATTGGCTTCAAAGTTGACCAGCTGTCATAAGAAGCCAGCACTAAATAAAGTATGCTCAGTTTTTAAGTGAAATGAAAAGTGATCAAATATTCTACATTTAAATACACTACATTGCCAAAAGAATTCGCTCACCTGCCTTGACTCACATGAGCTTAAGTAACATCCCATTCCTAATCCATAGGGTTCAATATGACGTTGATCCACCGTTTGCAGCTAGAACAGCTTCAACTCTTCTGGGAAGGTGTCCACAAGGTTTAGGAGTGTGTTTATGGGGATTTTTGACCATTCTTCCAGAAGTGCATTTGTGAGGTCACATACTGATGTTGGACGAGAAGGCCTGGCTCTCAGTCTCCGCTCTAATTCATCCCAAAGGTGTTCCATCAGGTTCAGGTCAGGACTCTGTGCAGGCCAGTCAAGTTCATCCACACCAGACTCTGCCATCCATCTCTTTATGGACCTTGCTTTGTGCACTGGTGCACAGTCATGTTGGAAGAGGAAGGGGCCAGATCCAAACTGTTCCCACAAAGTTGGGAACATGGAATTGTCCAAAATGTCTTGGTATGCTGGAACAGTCAAGAGTGCCTTTCACTGGAACTAAGGGGCCAAGCCCAGCTCCTGAAGAACAACCCCACACCTTAATCCCCCCTCCATCAAACTTTACACTTGGCACAATGCAGTCAGACAAGTACCGTTCTCCTGGCAACCACCAAACCCAGACTCATCCATCAGACTGCCAGATGGAGAAGCACGATTCGTCACTACAGAGAACGCGCCTCCACTGCTCTAGCGTCCAGTAGCGGTGTGCTTTACACCACTTCATCTGACACTTTGCATTGCACTTGGTGTTGTATGGCTTGGATGCAGCTGCTCGACCATGGAAACCCAGTCCATGAAGCTCTCTGCGCACTGTTCTTGAGCTAATCTGAAGGCCACATGAAGTTTGTAGGTCTGTGGTGATTGACTCTGCAGAAAGTTGGCGACCTCTTTGCACTATGCGCTTCAGCATCCCCTGACCCCGCTCCGTCAGTTTACGTGGCCTACAACTTGGTGGCGGAGTTGCTGTCATTCCCAAACACTTCCATTTTCTTATAACACAGCTGACAGTTGACTGGAACATTTAGGAGCGAGGACATTTCACGACTGGATTTGTTGCATAGGTGGCATCCTATCAGTTCCACGCTGGAATTCACTGAGCTCCCGAGAGCGACCCATTCTTTCACAAATGTTTGTAAAAACAGTCTGCATGCCAAGGTGCTTCATTTTATACACCTGTGGCCATGGAAGTGACTGGAACACCTGATTCCAATAATTTGGATGGGTGAGCAAATACTTTTGGCAATGTATTGTGTCTTGGAGCGACTATATTTGGCTCTTGGGTTTGACACGCGCGTCCGTTCTAAAGGTTTTTTCCCTGCATAGATTTTAATTGAAAAAGAGTCTAGTGCAACCATTTAGGATTTTTATTTGCACTTTTGTACTGATAATGTACATGTTCTCATACACTTACAGTATGTCATCAGTTGACTAATTTCTTTCTGGATGTTAAAAATGGCTACTTTTGTACACTTTTTAAATAAAAGACTATACCGACTTTGAAATGTCTTGGTGTCGTTCTAAGAAGTGCTGTAGAAGCAAAGTCATTTCTTCACTTTCTTCTTCTTATATTTCTTGTTGTCGGCATCCTTCGACGCTCTGAGACCTCGGCGGACCATGCAGCCTCTCCACCAGGCCTGCAGCTGCACAGACCAGACCAGGCTCAGACATGGGGAGACATGTTTCTGTGATGTGTGCTCTGACTGGGGGGTGTTACCTTTGTAGCAGCTCTGGCCTCTGCCTCCTGCTGGAATAGTTGCTCCTGCTCCAGTTTGTCCTCAATCACCACCTGCTCCATCTCCCTGAACTAAAAATCAGCAGCTAATCAACATTTATTTCAAAGTGAGGTTTTTGTTTGGGCTTGTTCTCACCTTCCTCCTCATCTCCATCAGTATGTCTATGTTCACTGATCTTTTGCAGAGGATGCTGTTAACATGCTTCTGTTTGTCCTGCAGCATCTGCTTGGTTTGCTGCTTCCAGATGTTCAGCTGCTGCTGCATTTCCTGTTCAGCACCACAAGAGTAGCTGCATTGTGTTACAAAAATTAACTAAAAACGAATACATTAAGACATTAACAATACAGATTTCTGTGAAACAAAGAACTTAAAAAATCACAAGTCAAAAACTTAAGAAGTTACAGCTTCACATGTGAGATGAGAGAGACAGCAACTGTTGCCCAGGTTCCTCACCAGGCTAAGCTTTATTTTTTCATTCATTCAACCTTTATTTAGACAGATAAGTCACATTGAGCCTAGAAGACTCATTTACAAGTGAGATCAGTTTAGACAGACAAAAAGTAGTGAAACTGGACACATGTAGGAATTGGAGGTGAAAAAATTCCTATCAGACTTTTTTTTTTCCTGCCTGAGAAGAAAAAAACTGATATTAAGAAACACCTCGCACAAACAAGCACATAGTGATGTAGACATTCTGCAGGGGGGAGACGACGAGAGCGGTGAGCATGTTCATAGATGCTCTCGAGGTCACTGTAAGAGCTCTGATAAGGATGTAATAATCAGCCAGTGTCCGACGGTGAGATCCATAAACATTCTTGAAGTACGTCGAGGAATGACTAAGAATAACGATTATAAGAATCCAAGAGTCCTGAAATGATGACACAATGTTTACTCAGCTGGTTTCATCTGGTTATCAGTTGGAAATTCCTCAGGGAGGGGGAGGGGGTAGTGAGCGTCAGATCCAGGCGAATTCAGATAAAATGGCCTTCAAGACCAGCCTTGGGAGCCAAATTCAGATAAACACACAGTAGGAATGCGCGATATATACGGTAGAAATGATAGAAATTTATCCTACGATAGAGATCTGTCTTTTACCGGCTCACCGCAGTAATGCTGTGTCTGAAGTAAAATCAGAGTTGTCAGTTTAATCGTTACTTTTTTTAGTTGAAAACTGTGTGTAAGTGGTGTTCAAGTGTAAAATCAGAACTGTCAGATTTAATCTTTACTTTTTTTGGTTGAAAACTGTGCGCAAGTGGCATTAAAGTCTTTTCTTCGAGGGCTAAGTAGTGAAGCTACAAGCTAACTACGCCCAGCTTGCCATAGTGTTGTCGTATTCTGACGCATGCGCAAAACGCTGTGTTCCGTCGAAAGTTTTTAATTTTTTTCCATCAAAAGTTAAAGTAAGCGTTGGTCAGCTTTAGAGAAACCTGCTCTCTGATCTGTGATAAGAACGCTGTGTTGTGTGATTTTACTGTGAGACCCTCTGGTCAAAGCCACAGACTCATTGTGTGTCAGCTCTCCATTAAAGCAGAAGGAGTCGCCCACTAGCGGTTTGGAGGGTGAAGTGTTTCAGTGTAAAATGCTGCTCTGTTGCTGTTCATTTCTTAAGTGAGACTGGAAACTGTTAAGAGCTAACAACATATTTTTTAGTTTAAAACATATGGCTAAAACTACAATTGATATCTTTTGCACTGTTTTGCACTACAAGAAAGAAGCCTAATACTCTATTTATTATTTAAAAACTCTCTGGGCCAAATAGTGGAATTTTCTTAATTCAAAATATATGATGGCAAAATGGGGGAGTGTTGGCGCAGAGGTTAGAAGATGGGCTTGTGATGGGAAAGTCGCAGGTTCACCTCCCGGTACCGTCGACATCAAAAATGTGGGTGGAAAAGGTGAAACACGCACACCTCCCTCCACCCTCATTCGCCCCACTCTGGGCCCATGAGCAAGGCCCTTAACCCCCACCATCTGCTCCCTAAAACAGGTCTCTCTTGAAAATGAGTTCTCGTGGCTCAATTAAATGAGACTACCTATATAAATAAAGGGTAAATAAAAATAAAATAAATAAAAATAAATAAAAGAACACCCTATGCTTTTTTTAGCAAGTTTTATACCAAAAACATATCGCGATATATATCGTTATCGCCACCCTTGACAATACATATCGTGATATGAATTTTATGCCATATCGCACATTCCTAACACACAGTTGTTTTAGGGACAGGCAGAACTTAATGATGTCTACCTTGAGTATGTGTTGGTCAACTCGGTTACGAAATGTCCAAATTACATGGCCACACCGATGGAACATGACTGAGTAAAATCCCAGAGATCTGATCCATTCTGCCCAAAGCATTTGAGTCCATGTACTCGAGACACGAACCAAGTCATCATAAAGGCAAGCAGCGTGATCGGGTCCAATTTTGCTGGCGACGACTTCCTTGATTGTTGATAAAACAATCAGCAACCAGCCGAATCCAAAAAGCAGGAACCAGTTATTGTAAATCCAATTAAATATGCGTCCTTAAAATCCACAGATGGCAGCAGAGATAAACACATCATCAAGTCTTCAAGTCCATGAGATATCCAGCTGTGTGCGTGCCAACAGGGCAAATCGGCTCACCTAAAGCCTGTCTTCTCTTCGAAGAAATGTTGTAAATTGAGTTGAGGGACCAACTGATCAAATCAAGTCCATAATTATGATTCAGAAGATATGCAAGAGGCTCAGAAGCAGTTTCACAGACAAACAGAGCAGCAAAGCGGAGAGGGAGGGGATGGGAAAGCGTCCAATCTCGGCAGGAGCAAGCAGGGTCAGATTAACACTTCGCTGTACCCTGGGCAACAAGCTTCAAGGGCCCCATCACCACGACCCCAGAATCACCATAATCTGGCAAAATACAGAATAAATTACCATAATATACAGTAAATATACAACTATCAAGTGTATTTTTATGTACAAAACTCCAAATGCTCATTGACACAAATCATCAAGACCGAATTAAGTTGAACCCACTTTGAACACCACATGACACCATATGTGTACTTGTTTAGTAAAGTATTGGGCACTTGTCAGAAGCATTTATAATGTGTGGGGGGGACACACTGATGGGGGTCTGGGGGTCCTCCCCCAAAAAATGTTGAATAAAGTAGATGCCATTTCCTGCATTCTGGTGTATTTTAATGGTTGTTTAACATCTAGTTTTACCTACATAAGTAAACACTTGGAACACCTTGGGATTCCCCTGGAGGAGCTGGTCCAAGTGGCCGGGGAGAGGGAAGTCTGGGCCTCCCTACTTAGGCTGCTACCCCCGTGGATGGATGGAAACACTTGATTCAGTAACTATTTTAGAGCTAATTGCACAAGAAGTAACCTGACCAACAGCTGATTCATTTAATTAAAAATATTATATATTCAAAGGTGATGATTTAATGCCCAAATTAAAATTAAATGCCTGTAACTTAGTTGACTTCAAATGGAACAAGATTATCAATAAATGTTTGCGACAAAGGATTTACTGATTATAACAAAGATTCCTTCAAGAAATCTCCTAATATAAATTATAAAACCATAATGACTTCTGCTCATTCTAAATTTATCAAATGGCCTAAATGTCCTAAAGTGAAGGAGAATAATTTTAAAATAATAAATAAGATATATCCTGTAGCCATGTTTCTACAAAGAAAATTTAAATTTGATGTTGATTTGTGTGTCTTTTGTCAATCACAAGATGAATCCCTCGAGCAAATTTTTTTTTCATGTCAATAAAGTCTTTGGTCAGACATCAGAAACTGGATTAATCTCAAACTTAACATTCCTTCTTTTGATGCTGATGCCATTTTACTTATGTGGATAACTTAAGCTCAGCTTTCTCTGATGCCATAAATATAGTCGTACTTATAGCAAAGTACCACATTCACTGTAGTAAGAGGAGAGATAATAAGCCTTCCTTCCTGTTTGATGAACGATTTTAAGTCGAACTATTTTTCATTAAGTAGATTAAAAATCTGCAAAACTGCTAGAATCATCTCACAACAGATACAGACTTATTGTTTTAATTAAAACAATGTTTCTCAAAAAAAAAAAAAACAACTGATGAGCTTGTCAGCAGGTAAGGGGCGTTTACCTTCGGGACAAATTGAGGTTGTCGATTGGTCAGTTACTGACACGCCTTCTGAGGTGATTGACAGCTCGTGCTGAATAGTAAATGATAAATATATAACACCTTTCTATCTTATCAAGACACTCAAATCTCTTTACACTACAATCTATGTCCTCATTTATCCATTTATACAGCACTCTACTAGATCTCTACAGAGAATAATCAGAGCTTTATCACATTCATACACCGATGGGACACACATCAGAGGCAATGAGGGGTTCAGTGTCTTGCCCAGGGACACTTTGGTATGTGACTGCTGGTGGAATCGAACCCCCAACTCTTGCCTTGGAGGACAACTGCTCTAACCACTCAGCCACAGCTGCCCTAGGCCTACTCTATAAGAACTGGGAGGGTGTTGTCTTCTCTTCACACAGCATAATCCAACCATTTAAACCCCAGTTAAACTAATGCCAGCATCTATAGACCCTCAGATTTTATATTTGTAGTATTGTTCCTGTACCAACCTTGTGCTGATTATGTAAGAATCTTAATGACTCCAAATGAGCGCTTTCTTCTTCTTCCAGCTGTTTTTGCAGCAGCTGAGTAAAGGAAGTGACATAAGATTTAAACAACTTTTCAGTTAGGGAGGACATTTGATGTTATTTTCTTCTTTTTGTGGGAGTGCAGTGTGGAAAGAAAGATGGCCGCACCTCTAGCTGTTCCTGCAACTTGTTCTCAAGTTGCCTGGTCTCAGCCTGCTGGATCTGGGCCTTCCAGGTCTTTGTCTGCTGGTTCTCATTCTGCCTGGCCTCCTCCTCCAAGATCTTTTTCTTCAGCTCCTCTTCAGCGTTCTTCATCTCAGCCTTCTTTGTCACTGCTTTGGCCTTCAGTTCTTTCCAGACAAAGTTTATTTCCTGAGGATGGGATATTCAAATGTAAACTTCATAACATGTTGGATCCCCCCCCCCCCCCAACTATAATAGTTAATAGACATAACTTCTCACTTTTAGTGTGTCCAGTTTGGTTTGAATCCTCTGTCTCAGTTCCATCTGCTTTATGAGTTCCAGACGTATCTGTGTTTTTCTGAATTAAGGAATAAGCCCCAAACACACATTAGATGCTGTTGTCAAAGTATTATAATTATTTTTATAGTGAAAAGTTTTCAACGGCATACATCGTCTTCTCGTTGCGTTTCTTTTCCTTTTTCTCCACAGTCTGCAGCAGACAACTGAAACTCTGCTTCCCCTCCAGCTCAGAAGACAGTTTGGACATTTGCTGCGAGATGAACTGACTGCAAGAGCATAAATAAATTAAATTCATGGGGAAAGGTTGATGCAGCAGGCAAAACCAGACGTTTCCTGTGTTTGTCTCTCTCTCTCTCTCCATCTGTGTTTGTGTAACTTTCATAAAGAGATCATGCATCTACTACTGATTAACTTTTGGAGTCAACTCAATTCTACAAGGATGCTACAGCGAAGTGACATTACAAAACACAAAAATGACTGTAATTTTAGTGAACTGAAGTTTTTTGTGGTCGTAGCTGAGCATCATTCACAACACATTTTCTGACTGTGACATCTTGAAATACAGCGTGAAACTGAAAATGTTATCATGAAGGTTTGACTACAAAGGCTACGTCACTGTTATTTTTCAGCATAAGATGTCTTAGTTTAAAACTGTGGCATGACAAAGTGATATTCATTCATCTTTGTAATTAATATATATATATATATATATATATATATATATATA